AAACAAATTAGATCATTCTTTCCTTTCTGTTCCACCCCTTCCTGGCCTCGTTACTGGCCCAAACAAAATGTCTTGCCTGTTTGATATGCAGACCATGTTAGTTTGTAGTGAATTCCTAGTTTAAGAAGAATCTTTACCTTTCCTACACCTTTTCCTGAAATGTACAGGGTTGGTTGAGTAAGCTCTACCTGAGACCTAGCAATTTCTACAATAGGATTTGAGATTACTGTGTGCCATCCTGTTTCCTTGTCTAGAGGGGCCGTACTTAATTTCGTAGTGAGAAACTCTTATCTGTTCTTGAAGCCTGGCTGTTGCTGAGAATGCATAATTATAATTAAAGGTGAAATTAAATATATTTTAAATTGAATGGTTTGGGTTTTCTAGGCCAGTTACAGTCAAATTAAAATCTTATTAGTGTCTGAAATACCTTTTCAGGATTTCTGCATGTAAAACATGTACTTCAGAAACTGTAGATTTATTTGTGCCCAAGGGGAATGTTAAATAAGAGCAATTGCTTTATTAGAAAAAAACATACTGCTGGAAACTGAGTCTAGCACTCCTCACACGTACATTTTTCAAGTCCTTTTATTGGTATCTCAGTTGGGCAAGTATCGGGATACAAAGTCCGTGTGCGAACGTAAAACTATGGCTTTGAACACTTCATGATTTCTCAAATGAAATTACCAATAAAGTCTTGCTGAGTCCATCCTGCTCCCCCCTTAAAAAGAGTATTAATAGAGAAGGGAATATGGTAGGTTCTATAACTTCCTGTACGTGTTATGAAACGAGCTCGGTGTTATGGAGTCAGTCTAAGCTGCATGAGAGACATTTGAAGCTCGTTTCAGGCGACTCGAATCCTTTATGTCATTATTCTAAGTAATTTTTTAATACAGTAATCTGCTTTTTTCCAAACTCTTAACTGGATCACATTTTAAGGAGTACATTAATCTTGGTCTGCTAAACAGAAAACAGCAAGCGTGTACTCTGAACCTGCTAGTAAACAACTGAAGATGGTACAGATTTGAGATAATTTTTAGTGTTAAAAGCTTGCAAATTATGGATTTACTAAGTCAAGTCCTTAGCTTGTTCTTCAGTAGGTGAAGAGTGAGGACTATACTCACACCACCAATGGGCTTCTCAGTTAAGCACCACAGCTGCTGTGTAACATTGAAGCTGAAGGGTGAAAGGAGTAATTCAGGCTGCCCTGGAACTAGGATTACTGACACTCCCTCCTCACCGCCCCACTCCTGTATGGGGATCGCTGGGGAAAGGTGGTTAATGAAGGGAGACTGACCTTAATATCCCTGTTCACAGCTACTAGTGCCATTTTGCATGGAGAATCTGGAGCAAATGATCACATGGAAGATCTCCACAGTGTTTATCAGAGCTACTTTAAATACTAATGTAAAATATTCAATTAAATACCATTTAAATTTTTATCCCATTGCACTTAAAATCCTTAACGTATGTCTCTACTAGCCTTAGATCACAAATATAAACATGTACATAGAGCAAGGACTAAAAAAAAAAGTAGACTTCAACATATGACTTGTTTGGTTAAGAGCAAATCTCCAAACAAAACTGTAGCTGTTAGAATAGTTCCTTGTGATAAATTCTCTGCTTCGTGTTGCTGCAGATGGCTTTTTATCAGTGCTTGCCTCCCTAGCGTGTTGGTTAGTTCTTTCATTGACATGGAATGAACATCACAGGTGTTATCAAACTAACAAAAGGACAGCCAACAAAAATGCTTAATTTTTTAAATCTAATACTTCATGTTAATCGAAAGTGTAGTGCTGTTACACAAACAGTGTGTGGTTTGTGCTTGGCTGAATAAGCTTTCAATATATAATAATTGATACAATCCAATAATAATTGGATTTGTTCATACAGATATCTCATATGTACCTCTGTATATACAGCTCAGCTCTACCAAAATAGTTTGAGGGGGTTTTGTATCCCTGTAAATTAGCAGAAACAACAAAGAAGCAGACATCAGCATTTTCTAGAAATTTTGAGAGTCTCTATGTAACTTTTGTGGATATACGTTTTCCAGGTAGTCTTTAGCTGGTTTTCTGTTTCAGTCCAGCACGTGCAGCTGGCCAAGACTTGCTTTTTAGTTTACATGCTTTTTAGTTTTTTGATGAGGATGTAGGGTGCTGGCTACTCATACAATGTCTATGCCCATGTTTTTAATCTTCTGTCAGAAGGAACCTGGAACAAAGGCCAACAAAGGTGCTAAAGGGAAGAAGGATGAAAAGCAAGAAGCTGCAAAGGAAGGTACTACACCATCTGAAAATGGTGAAAATAAAGCTGAAGAGGTACTTTCCACACATACCTCCTGCTGATTGAATCAGTGTTTTTTAATTATTCAGCCTTTCAGACATTGATAGCATGTTCATAATGTTTCTTTTTATTGCCCATAATGTTATTGCAGATTCGCATCTCTCGCTCAACTGTTAGTGTTTCAACATCCAGAGGTGCCCCACCCAGCACACTGTCAGTAAAAGGGCAGATTGAAACAGTGAAAGTTAAGGGTACGGTAGAGCATTCAGCATGTGTGCAGTGAATAGAAACAGATAGTAGTGTGGTGCTTTTCAGTGTGAACAATGGAAGCTGACAGGTAAGGCTTGCATTGCTTTTGAAAAGCTGGGACCAATAATTTAAGAAGAGTGTGTGAATGTACCTGTTTTGTTTGTGTAAATGTAATATGGACATAGGTTTGGAACTGAGCTGTTGCAAATAAGAAATCGAAGGAGTAAGGGTAGTTGGGGTATTTAGGTATGTAATGGCAATTTACTATAGTAATTAATTTCTTTTTTTCTTCTCCACAGGCTCAGAAAACTGAATCTGTAGGTGACAAGAATGAATGAAATATCATGAAAATTTTGGGTTGATTTTATGTACCTCTTGGACAACTTTTAAAAGATATTTTTATCAAGTATTTTGTAAATGCTAATTTTTTTAGGACTATGATAGTTGACATATTAAACTGTATATGAACACTTCCCTTCTCATAACAGTGCTTTTAGAAATTCCCATTGTTGCCAAGTAATATAAATATCAACTTAATATTGCAAGGTATGTGTAAATTGGATCAGCATTCCATACACTTGCTTTAAGAAATTAAGTCTTGTGCATATGGTGATGTTTTTACTGTGCGTATTTGAATTTTTCATGCAGTTTTTCTAGAGCAATAATCAGTGGTGCTTTTGTACTTAGGGTTTATGTGATTTTAATGAAACATGGATAGATGTGGCCACCTGCTGACTATTTTGGGTTCTTTTAATGGATTAAAATAAAAGGTCTCCTTGCCTGCAAAACTACAGCCTCCTAATGTTTTCTCTAAATCTGAGGAATGCCTTACTCATATTTTCAACTGTTACAAGGAAGACTAAATGATTTAGCAACAATTGTTTTGCATGCTGTCTGTTTCCTTTTTTGCTGATGTCTGATTAAAAAATACCCACACAGGAGTAGCAGGCTGGGATTTTCAGTGGCCCACAGCTTAAGGGACTTATAGATACATTCTTCATAGATACATTCTTCAGATGTACTGTCACAGGGTGAGTAGAGTTGCCATACTCTATCAGGATATTGTGTCTGTAATGAGCTATCAGTAGAGGATGAATTGGTTGATCGATAGAGGTGTACAGTAACTTAAAAGTAGCTTTGTTTCTCCCCCACTCTCTTTTCATTAACTTGCATCGTACTCCGTGGAAACCTTTCTTTCTATCTGCAGCCTCCAATTTCATATAAATAGTAATTGCTATTCTGCTTCAGCTGAGGACAGTTGTTAATACATTGAAATCGCTGTTAAACAGCGCTATATATTTGGTACCTGTAGAAATGGAACAATGAAAGTTATTTTTGAGGTGATTGTGGTGATGTGGTGGATTAGCTAACGTTTTTTTGTGGTTTTTTTTTAGTGTCCATGTTTCAACTCTGCAGCTCATTCCAAGCGCCTTTTACAATTTTTCTCCTTCTCTTTTCTCTAGGGGCCCTGGTATTTCTATTGTTACTTCTGGGATGGGAGGGGTGAGAGAAAAGATGTTCCCTGTTCTTCAGTAGCATTGATTTGTATTGCTCGAGTGGTGGCCATTATGTCTGAGGATACCTTTTGCTTGTTTAAGTCAATAAATAAACGACTGTTGCCTGACCTAGCATTCTATTTATTCTTTGGGAAGAAATATCCAGTTGCCTTTTTTTAATTAAAACAGAAAAGAAGCCAAGCCTCTCTATACTTAAAAATTGAAGATTGATTACCAAAACCCTATATGCTAACTAGAATAGTAGTTAAGACCTGTGTTGAGATAAATGCCACTGCTGCTCTAGTGGTAGGCTTGCTACTGCCAAATAAGAGGAGGCTGTTCTCTGCATCATGAACTTAGTTTTGGAAGAAAATTTAAACTAAGTCTCTGCTTTTGGTGATGGAAGGCAGAGAGAGGGCTGTAACGAAACCTGCAGCCTGATGAGAAGGAAAGTCCATATTGTTACTCAGTGATATGTATGTGGTAGTCCTGCACAATACTTCAGATTTGCTTTCTGATGGACACTGTTGAACGTCTGTTAATTTAGACACTACGGTCATGGGAAGTTTAACTGTCTGAACTTCTTCACAGAATCATCAAAGTGCTGTTTCTAAGCATTTGTCAATTTATGGGTTTATTGTTCCTGTGAGGAAGGGTTTTGTATACTCTAATCATTTTGTGTGGATAACTGAGAGATTAGTTGCCTAATCCTATCTAGACACTTGGAGTTCTTGAAATGACCCCTTCAACTTAGATTTAATTTAGGCATGAGCATCACAAGACACCGACACATCTCTGGACAGGCTTATTTTAGGAGAGCTCCTTCTACTAAATGCCTAAAAGGTGGGCAGAAGTTGGGTCCTTAAATTAATCACACAATATCCTAACCTAGTAATTTTGGCACAAAATTCTTCTGTTGGCTTGACCGGATTAGGAGATTCAGCTCAGTGCCAGAGTTCTGTTAAAAGCATTTAACGACAGAAAATCTGCTTGGGTGAGGTTTAATGAAACACACTATCCTGCTGATTCACTTAACATTTCTGTTTTTTCAAAAGTGCTTTGTAAGTGTGATGCTTTCCTATCTTTTTCCTTTACGCGTCAAGTTTTCAGAGAAATTTTCAAAGCACTGTATCGAGTTCTAGAACACACTCTTTAAAATTAGAATGGTCGCACATTCTACATATGTTGCTAGAGTCTTTGTGGGGAGCTGGTGATCTGCAGAGCACCTTCAGGAAGTATGTAAGTATTTTAGTTTTCAAGTGGCACTTGAAAGTGCCAGGTGCTGCATCTCAGCTGTGAAGAAACATGCATCATCAGTATTTAATGACTGGCTGCTTCACTTGAACGCAAGGTTTGGAGGAATCCCTGAAAGCGGTATTTGTCCTTTGTGGGGTGTAACAGATGGGTAGTTCAAAGTACATTTAAAAAAAAATATTTTTTTTTAATTGGGAAGGATGGACTGGTTTTAAGGTTAAAGAAGGCAGGTACCTCAGAAACAAGACTTAATGAATGATCAAATAAAAGTCACCCTTGAGTAGTCAAAGGTCCACCTTCCCTTAGCTTTATATAATTTCTCTGGGTTGTTGCTTTCTGATGCTTCCCTATCCTTGACTGACCTTGGGCTAATTGCATATGTCAGCACAAGGTTACGCTTGGTATTTTGTGCCTTCAAATGGCAAAGGCAGCTTTTTCTGAATGGAGAACCGTGCAGATGAGACGCAAGCATCTAAGGGGAGTGCTAATGGAAAATTAATCCTTATGCTAAACAGCAGTGATAATGTGTTTTGCTAGATTTTGCTCAACTCTCAAAAGTTTGAGACTTATTCGATCTGTTCGTAGCTGCAAAAAGAAAAAAAAAAAGCAGGGAAAGGGAGAAGGAATAGCAAGAAAATAAAGATCCCTTATTAGAAATAAATAACATTACATATGTAAGAGTTAAATTTCTAGTGCAATGGGAAAAGTGTTTTGGGTTTTTTTGTATGCTCAGTTCTGTGATTATTTTTTTTTTTAAATGTAGTCTTAGAAGGGGAAGATAAGATCACTTAAATGTTCACGAGAGAACATGATTTAAAATCAAACCAGTTCTACAATCCTAAGGTATACATCATGATATCGAGCCTCAATAGCCACAATGTTGATTACATTTCTACTGAAATTATACAAAATCTATATAACCCTGAAGGGATTATACAACTGAGAAACAAGTGGCCATTCTGTATGCTGTAAAAGTAAGGTGTCATCAAATGAGAAAGGGCGAAATAATGTGAAATGTGGAGGAGCCTGTCTCTTGTGAATAAATTGCTTCTGACCTGGCTGCCTCATTGGACCTGTATTTTCACTCGTATTGTTGTATCTGGACTACTGCTGGGCAGCTGACTGGTATCGGATTTAAAGTGGCAATTTAGCCCACTATGTTAATTTATATTAAATAAGTCAGTAAGCTTCTATATTTGAATCAAAGCACAAAAAGATACAGGAGACTGTCTATAAACAAGTTCGGTGGCAAGAACTGTCATCCTCCTAGCTTAAGGTTTATTATCATTCTTTTATTTGTAGGAAAACTTGAAAATACTTTCACTGCTGGCTAAATTGCTGCATACATAACGGTCAGGAGAAGCACTAGAATGTTCAGTGCCATTACTTCTTTTGTAAAGGCAAGAATTTTCTACTGCTGTTCTCCATAATAAATGTACTTTTTGCTTTATTCAGAAACTTTGAGCTTACTGTAATGTTGTTATTTGGCTAGATACAGCCAAATTGCCTTGCCAAATCGCCACCAATTGCCTTCTGTAATGTCCAGTTCTACGTTTATAATAAATCAGAATGAAATAATGGCTTTCCTGTAGAAAATGGACAAGATGAGAAGTAAGCTATTTTGATACATTCCTCCCTTCCTGATGAACCATAGTATTAGCAAGAAAGTAGTTCATATGTAACAAGCTGAGACTAACAAGTGTTTGACTAGTACAGCATAATACTCACTTCTTGTAAGCACCTTCAGAGTGGCTATAAATGAGTTCTGGTGAAAAATGCCTTAACTAACAGTACATTTCAAATTTGTCTGTTGATACTAATTAGTCTCATTTGTTTCCAAAGGTGAATGAAAAAGCCATAGCATGCCATCTTAGCATGCCTGCTAAGATAAGGATTAGGCTAGTAATTTAAATTCATGCTCAAAAAAAAAAAGAAGCCAGAGTGCATGAGGTCATTGTGCTTAATTTTACTACTGCATTTAAGTTACGGTAGTATAGCTTGTAGGAATGGTTTTATCACAGTTTTGATTCTCATTCAGAAACAAATTTCAGACTTGGAGCCCATAAAAACTGAATTTGTGTTGGATGATTTCAGGTACTAAGCTGTCTGATATGAATCTTCTAATAATGAACAATTTAATGGAAAGCAATATAATTTAAGATGACAATACAGAGACTGGAAGTAGCAATCTTGTCCAAGTCCTCAGTCCGTTTCTGAAATGAGTATAAAACGTTACTGTACTTCCTCACAAAATAAAGGTTGTGGAACAAGAACTTTTGCCTTATCCTGGGACTTGAGCTGGAAGGCCATGCTAAGCTTTCTTTAGAAGAATCAGAATAAAATATCTTAAGGATCTAATTTCTTCAAACCAAACCAAACCCCTTCTAATTTCTGGTAATATTTTGTAAGGAAAGAAGGTGGAAGATGATGTGAGCTCTTATAATAACACCAAGGGATTCGTAACCATTAGACATTAAGAAACGGATGTAAATGTGTCGGTTGCATCTAGAATAATTGAGAATAGGAAAGGAGGAGCGGGTCTGGAGAATTTTTGTGATTCTGTTCAGTCATTTTAAAGATGGCTGCGTATTATTCCCAAGAGGGAGGAGTGCTTCTGCTGTGGCAGCTGTGGGTTGTCCCAGGATGGGGTTGGAAGAAAATTCCCTCATGGGTGTGGGAGAGGAAATGGGAAGAGGGGACGAAGTCTGACCTTGTAATCTGGGTGGGTGGGTGTGGAGGAAGAGATCTCACACAAGAGAAACTGATTTTTCTAGGAATAGGTGCAAGAGAGAAACAGCAAAATTCTTTGCATGTGTAAGCAAGCCTTGAGTGTCACTAGATTTATTTTTTTTCCCCTCGGGTCTTCTATCAACAATCCAGTTACTGAGTGTACTTTTTTTTTTTGTTCCCTCTGCGATACAGTTCTGGTAAATCTTGTTAACTTTAATTTTTTTTTTCTACTTCCTTGAGGGCGTTTTTGCACTCAAGTATCATTTGTCTATCAGTGCCAAATTTCCACCTGTAGGATAACTACTGGTTGTGTTGATGAACTCCTGGAGTCTTTCAGGAAGCTTCGCCTGCTTCACCTGCCAAGGGAACAAGGTATGTGAAAGTTTGAACTATAAGGTAATTCTGAGAGACAGCATCCGGAACCTGTTTATTGAAGTTTACCACATCATATTACACAGATTTATAAATGTATTATACTCAATTTGAAAATAATTTTTGTGAGTCTCCAGCCAAGCACATTCATGGTGAGAGGGTTGAGCGAGCTCAGGCTCCCTTCCAAAGCCGGGCGGACAGCATCCTCTATGATGTGAATGAAAGCTTACGTCGACGTTTCAGCTCATCCTAGAATGAGGGTAGAAGATAAAAATTTCGATGCCCTTTTTTTGGCATGGAGGTAATCACGCAGGATAAGCAGTCTGTCTGGCATCAAGATGCTACTGAGAAGTCTGCTATCTGCATCAGTGGCAATGGATACCGGCCTTTGAGGCGAGATGGAAGACTGCAGATGAAGGCAGAGAGCCAGGGGAGGGCCTTGTGAACTTAGCACCTCTACCCCTACTTTGAGGCTTCTTCATAGAGTGGCCATGCACCAGATGAGGGTTGCTTCACCTAGCAGCCAGAGGCGAGGTGTGGGCTGTGAATTCACAATGTGTGTGTGTAGTGGTAGTTCATCCAAGGGAACGATGTGACTGCTGCAGATTCGTCTGACACCGAGTAGCAGAGAAAGGGCGTGCTTCCAAGAGGTTGCGTAAGGATAGATTTAGTTGTGACTTTTTTGGCAGCTGGTTCTGTTAAACGATCACTGCGAGTCAGAAAGCTGGCAATAATTATTCGTGGATGTGGATAATGTTAATGGGAATTAATT